TAGCCAGAACCACAAAAGCTGTCATTTTTATTGTCCGTATTGGACAAACCAAATAATCTTTGTCATGACTTCACCATAGCTACTCTGAACTGCTTAGTGTTTGCCCGAAATGTGCCTTGGTACAAAATCTGGGGGAGGCAGTGTCAAGCAGAATGCCTAACATTTTGAGCATCTGGGATTAATGAGCTATCAGCAAACAGTTGGCTTCTGCATGACCAATCTGCTTTTGAATACTGTGAGTGCTGACTGTATCAATAAAGATAGGCTGTGATGGGAAACATTTGCTGTTATGTAACAACATGCTGAAATGCTTCGGTCGGAAGGGAGGGATGTCACAAAAGTAAGAATGGCCGTAATATGAAGAGAAGCAAAGGTGACACAGTTCATAGAGGGCAGTGATTCAAGAGGTCAGGGATGCAGAAGCTCAGGAATTTTCTTTCGTTTCACCTTCCTTCCTTTGTTTAGTTTATCTGTCATTCATTCCTTCTCAACATTCCTAGAACATTTGCAAGGCACTTATAGTCCCCCTCAAATATCTTATGGTATAGTAGGATGATTGCTTTTACATAATTGCTTTACCTAAATGTTCAAATCACTTGGTAGGTGATATTCAAACAGAATTTTATGAAACTAGACAAGAGACTGAAATAATCATAACATTAATTCATTTATAGTAAATACTCTGAATATTTAAAATATATTCACCCATTTTGAATGAGCATATATAGATAAAGTGACACACGAGAACAACACGTAAGTGGTTTTTAAGAGTGGAAAATGGCAATAGAGCACGAGTGCAGGAGAGGATGAAAATCAACAAAAGAAGGGCTGTGCACAAACCAGTGGTGACGGTGCACCACGGATGTAAGGGACACATGAGCTCTGCCGTGGTATCCAAAAAAAAGAAACCCAAAAAGGCAAGGTGGGGCTGGGCATGGTGGCTCATACCTGTAATCCCAGTACTTTGGGAGGCCAAGGCGGGCAGATCACCTGAGGTCAAGAGTTCGAGACCAGCATCGCCAACATGGAGAAATCCCGTCTCTACTAAAAATACAAATCTTGGCCAGGTGTGGTGGTACACCTGTAATCCCAGCTACTGGGGAGACTAAGGTAGGAGAATCACTTGAACCCAGGAGGCGGAGGAGGTTGCAGTGAGCCCAGATCACCACTTCACTCCAGCCTGAGAGATAGAGTGAAACCCATCTCAAAAAAAAAAAAAAAAAAAAAAAAAAGAAGGCAAGGTGGGGCTAAAAAAACGAATTTTAAAGTCAGTGCCAAAGACAACCACCGTCCGCTCAGGGGAGCTGAAAGTGACTGCCTGTGTTCCCCCAACACTTTGCCAAGAAGGAGGGGACTCCCTGATATGGATGGAGAAGTCCAGGGACGCCAAGGAAGCAATGAAGCCATGGAGCTGAAGGAGATCTTCCTGTCGAAGGAGCACAGGTATTGACATTAAACAACTAGAAAATATTCCCTCCAGCCTCCAGCTGGTTTTTCACGGGGGAACTGCTCAGGTCTCTTGATTGTAACCGACTCTTCTGCTGCTTGGCCTTTTCAGTGATTCTGGCTGGTGAGGGCTTTCTGGCTGTTCCTGCTTGGGAGGCCCCTGAACCAGCCTCTCAGCGGGAGTGATTCTTCAACTTTGCTATTGGGAAAATGTGCTAGCCATTCGGGAGCTGGAGAATATAGTAATCCTAGAGTCACTCAACATGTTCGTTTCTTGCTTCATTGTCATATAATTTGGATACATGAACCTCATCCATTTAAAGTGCACACTTCGGTGGCTTTTGCTTTATTGACAGACATGTGCAGCACTAGTCACGATAACTTCCGAAAGAAACCCCTTGCTCAATATCACAGGTCCTTGTTCTTGCTCCCACTCCCAAGCCCCAGACAACCACTCATGCACTTTCTGAGTCTCTGTAGATCTGCCTTGGACATCTGATACATGTGGAATAATAGACTATACGGTCTTTGTGATTGGCTTTTTTCCATTTAGCATGATGTTTCCGAGACTGCTGATTATTGAACATGCTTACTACGTAGCCCCAAAATAGGACCAGCTTATTAACCACAGATGATGTTTCTATCCTATTGTTACTTGTTTTGTGTTTTGTCCTTCTCATAAAATGATTTTGTTTTTCTTGCCTCTGTCTAGTCACTCTGAATGAAGGAGAGAGTTTGTGTTTACAGGCAGCTTTGGGATCATGTGACCTACCTTGGCATATGTAATTCTACTAAGTCTGTGAGTACCGTGGGATATCTCCACAGAAAGAGGAGAGAAATAGACAGTGTTTGAAGTCTTGTTGTATATGTGGGAGACACTGATATTCTCTCTAATTGCAACTGAGCCAATGCTTATATTTCCTCTGACTACCCTTTTTTACAGGTTATATAAAAAATACAAAGCTATTTTGTTCACCATAAAAGAAATTTCTGTCAGTTTAATTTGCTTCTCAGTGTTTTTTAAGACATTTTATTAATATAAATAGAGCCAGCAGAAGGACCAAGTATGTGAGCAGATGGAATTCCAGTCTTACTAGTGTGTGTGTCTCTGATTCCCCTTCCTCTCCACCAGGCTCACTCTCCTGGTGTAATCACAGTCAACACAACCCAAATTTATTTCAGTTTTTGTCACTTTCAGTTCAAATGACTGTGACCTATTTGTTGCGCTGGAACATAGCACAAATACCAGATATATAGCAACTTTTTAACAAATGTAAAAGGAAGAAAGAAAGGAAGGAGGGAAGGAAGGAATGAAGGAGGAAAGGGAAGAAGGGAAGGGAAGGAAGGCGAGAGGAGGGGAGAGAAGGGGAGGGAAGGGAAGAGAACAGAAGCGGGAGGTCAGAAGGAAAGGGGAGGGGAGTGAGTCAAGGGAGGGAAGGGGAGGATGAGAGAGAAGAAACAAAACACCGAAGCTAGCAAACAAACGGAGACTAGACTGTTCTCTTAGATTTACTTCTATGTCAACGGAAGTCTCATTTCATTGATTTAGTTGTATTTATCCAGATGACTAGTGAGAAGTTTTTTTCCCGGAGAAATAAGAATCAAATTAAATACTGGATATAAAACAGTTTGATAAAGTGAATGCTTGCAAACTATAAAACACATTTTTGTACAGTTGATTCAGTTATGACCTCCAGCTTTTCCCAGCTACAAAGGCATTAGGGAATCAGAGCTAAATTTTCCAAAGAGGACCAGATGCTCACTTTAAGGCACTTGTGGCTTACTTATCATCCCACTATTATATTCAGACAATCACATGAGGATTTGTAACTAACACCTTTACATAGATGGACTTCATTTCCATGTTGAATTGTGAGTGCCACAAACTTAAAATGAGTGCTCGTGGATCTATGACGATGCTGATACACTTGGTTTTGCATAGAAAGTGTCACAATTTTTTTAACAGCCAATATATTACGATCTAACATAATAAGTTTGTATTTTTGTATTTATATATGTGTGTATATATACATATAAAATCAACATTATTCCTATTTTTAAGAATAATGTGAAAGACTAGATAAATTAGAAACCAAACTGTTGATTTCATCCTAGGATCATGTGATATCATCAATATTTGTGTGAAAGTTATTATTATCTTAAATGATACATGTATTTGGAATTCTAATAAATGTGATGAGATAATTAGTTACAATATTTTTTGTGGTCCATTCTGATAATGAGAAAGTAAATTTCAATTCCAGCTCTTATTTCTGGGCACCATTTTTATAATATTAAATACTATCAGTATTTAGCTATTTGGTTCCCAAGGGTGGGGGGAAATTTTAGAAGATATACTAAAATAATAATATTTGTTGCATAATTGTTCTTAGAAAATTGTATCATCAATTCACAATTATGTGAGTTTTCTTGCTCAATTGACTCATACTTTGTGTAAATCAATAAATATTATGAAAAAGAAAGCAAACAGCTAAAAATGCGCATGACATTTTATTAATCACAACAAAGGGTGAATGATAACATTTACTCTAAGTTCAAATGTAAGTTTAATTAAAAATATATTGTTAGGCTGGGCGCGGTGGCTCAAGCCTGTAATCCCAGCACTTTGGGAGGCCGAGGCAGGTGGATCACGAGGTCAACAGATCGAGACCATCCTGGTCAACATAGTGAAACCCCGTCTCTACTAAAAATTACAAAAAATTAGCTGGGCATGGTGGCATGTGCCTGTAATCCCAGCTACTCAGGAGGCTGAGGCAGGAGAATTGCCTGAACCCAGGGGGCGGAGGTTGCGGTGAGCCGAGATTGTGCCATTGCACTCCAGCCTGGGTAACAAGAGCGAAACTCCGTCTCAAAAAAAAAAAAAAAAAAAAAAAAATATATATATATATATGTATATATATATATTGTTTAAAGTTAGGTAGGGAAAAGTATTAAAAAGATAAACAAAAGAAATAAATATAAAATTTAAGGTAGCAGAATTTCTTATTTCTAGTAGGAAGACAGAAGTGTGGGCTTGGGCAGGAGCATGAGGAGAGTTTCGCCACTACTTTTTGGAAAGAGATGTACACGGACACACACTAACAGACGTCTACCTTATTTTTGGAAGACGCATAAATAGCTGATAAGAGTGATAGCTTTGGAGAGAAGTTTTGGAGGTTAGTGTAGAAGACTTGATGCTTACTTTATATTTTTTGTATTGTTCAAATATTTACATTTGAAATATGTGTTTTCAAACATTAAACAAAAATACTAACTTATTAATAAAGAATCTAAGAAACAGCACATTTTTTTTGAGTGACTACAAGAAATACCAAGCCGTGTTAGAGGCCGTGGGATTACAGGTGTGATACTGATACAATAATAAGATAAACAATGAAAATAATATTTAAAATACGTTGAGAATTTGTTTTGTTCCAGATGTTATTCTAAGAACTTAATGCAAATTCTTTTTAAAAAATGACTACAACCCTATTAGGTAAATGGTACTATTTTTCCTATTTTAAAAATAAAGAAACTGACATTTTGGAGTCATATAATTTTCCCAAGACCATACAACTGATAAATGAAAGGGCTGAGGTGCTGAACTCATCTGACATTACCCATCATGCGAGACGTCTTTCCTATGGAAGCTGAGTGGCTGGGAAGTGCCTTTGTTATTTAAGTGCTCTGGAATCAGGCTCTTTTTCCTTCTATTTAAATAAATAGCAGGCGTCACCCTCTTCCTGTTATGCCCATAAGTCCTCCTCCAGCAGCGAAGAATCCAAACACACAGCTAAGACAAAGATGGTAGAAAAAAAAATCCCCTCAATATTTGGCAGGTCCTATCAGAGTCAACTCTAAAAATGTCAGTAAGAAGAGATGTCCCCAGCCTGTACAGGATTTGCTGTGGAGATGCGGGGGTTTGTCTAAATGAGAAAATGTAGGGGCAGGGAAAGGTTTCTACAGGATCAGCTTGGGAAAACAGGACGAGAAAAGGTAGAGTGCACGCTGATGACAACGCACAAATCGATGTTGAAATTAATCAGCAAGATCTCCACCTTCAAAGACTGCAGTTTAGTGGCAGAGATATGTCATTGTAGAGTTTGACCACACGCCAGAAAGCATTAGAGATGCCTTTAAATGGTAGAAGGTTCTGGAGACTTTACTATTGCCCTCAGCTTCACATTAGCTTACTTAGTGTTTCAGCTGCATTTGGCTAGCAAGATCCAGGACATGAGTGAGACGCAAGGAGAGGAAAAGGAAGGAGAGACATCAAGTGAAGGGCCAGTGGCTGGCCAAGGTCCATGTCTGTGCCTATCTGGTGGGGGCTCAGCTCTTCTGCCAGCTGGTGGCATAATTTGTTGGGGGTGGTGGGGGCTAGAAGTAACACATCTGTCAGGTCACTCCAGGGCCAGGTGGAAGGAGGACCAGGGTAGAGAAGAGCATCACGCATGGCTGGTGTTGCAGTCACTGTTCTATTTGGCATGGAGTAGACCCGGATGGATGGGAGCCCTAGAAGGGTGGCAAGCTCCACGCACAATTCAGTAGCTCGCTCTTTTCCCTGACCTACCATCTGGGCAACCATCACGAAAAATCTGCCCACTGTTCTCTAAGAACTGAAATTTACCGAGTGATTATTTCTCATGAGACCCTTTCCACATCTCTGATATCCTAATTCATTTGGCAACACAAGAAACTACTAACATGTGCACTTCCTCAAATTTTAAAGAACTTGTGTTTAAAGAATCAACTATAGTACTACTTTTGGCCATATAAACAGCTAGCTTTGAAAAGTCTGTATTATTTAATCACTCCTCTTTGGCTACTTCCTGTAAGCTGATATAGTCTATTGAATTCTAAACTCCTATGTAAGAACTATTTTAAAGCAATGGATCCTTGACACAATGGGGCTTTGACGTGACATGTATTCTCAAATCTTCAATGCGGATCTGCATGTGGAGGCATCTTATGGCAAACATTCCTGAGCATTCTTAACTGGTAATTTTCAGTTGCTTTTGAAAATGGCTTGGATGAAGGTTGCAGAGGGATTGACTGAAGAGGGTCTGAACTCATAATTATCTCCCAACTAATGTGTACATTTCAGATGGTGAAGCCTCTTCACAGGCTGAATTGTGATAATATGCCACAAAATTGGCCATTTTGAAGAGCTGCTTTGTGAAGCTGATGAATGAAATTTCTCCACAGTGTTGCTTATACACAAGCTTCCCTCCTCCCGTGCACCATGCGCACACTTGTCTAGAGGACAGCAGCCTGGCTCACTGGTGGAGAACCAGAACCCTGCACTTCAACCTAGCTGCCCTTGGGAACCAAATCATAGAAGCTCAAAAGTGGTGGGAATGTGGTCCTAACGGCCTCATCCACAGAGCTCGCCTTCTGCTCTTGGGTTTTGTGATTTGTGAGTTTTCCTGTTTGTGGATATATCTTTCTTTGTCTCTTGGGGGGAAAATTCCAAGTGCTCAGAGACTGAGATTATTGCTTTTGGGATCACATGTTCTGTATAGGAGACATGCCAGGGGAGAAAAAAAGAACCACACACAATACCTTTGAGGGTAAACAACCTTTACGCCAAGTATATGGCAATACAGATATAATAAGCAAATATCAAATAAGCAAATTGTGATAGGAAGGGGAGAAGGAAAAAGATATATGTACACACACATATACATATATATATATGTGTATATATATAAAATGATATATATGTGTGCGTGTGTATGTGTATATTACATAAATGTATATAAATCTACACTCACCAGACTATGGAGGATTCATCACCAGACCAGGAAGCAAGAACCTGGGCTCCACAGTCGGCCCCTCATCCGTGTACCGATGAGAAGTCTCATGAAGCGTTGGCGTGGTCTGGGACCCTGACTCTTTTTGTAATGAGTTGTTTGGCATGAGGCCCACTCAAAAAGGTCAACTTGTTTTTGCGATTGTCTGTTGCTTTTCAGTCACTAACATACAGGGCAAATTTCTCTGAAACAGTGTAGGATGAACACCTCAGGGGTTCGTGCAGCCTGTTCCAGGACTTGGTGACCATTGTTTTTGTCCATGCTCAACTGAGTTCAAATTTAATATTTAACTTTTCCTCTACACATGTCCTGGACACTTCAATCTAAAAGATGCCAATGACCTTATGTCCCATGAGACTAACCACTGCATGGAGGAAGATGTATGCCACAAAGCCGAAAACTTAGCCAATATGTGACCGGTGGCCAATGTGTTCAATTTCACTGTGAGGAAGAATAACGGGTTCATTATGAAGAGATTTTGGTTACAGGTGCTGTCCTGTGTTGGTTTTACTGAGCCTGGGCTCCTGCTAAGGAAAGCACATGGGTACTGGAAAAAGTTAAGAATTCTAGTTTCTGAAAGCATTAATAAATTTGTAGAAAATGTTTTCTTCAGGCCAGGAGCAGTGGCTTATGCCTGTAATCCCAGCACTAGGAGGCCTAGGTGGGCAGATCATGAGATCAGGAGGTCGATACCATCCTGGCCAACATGGTGAAACCCTGTGTCTACTAAAATCACAAAAAAGTTATCTGGGTGTGGTGGTGCATGCCTGTAATCCCAGCTACTTGGGAAGCTGAGGAAGGGGAATCGCTGGACCCCAGGAGACAGAGATTGCAGTGAGCCGAGATCACACCACTGCAATCCAGCCTGCTGACAGAGTAAGACTCTGTCTCAAAAAAATAAAAACAAAGAAAAAAAAGAAAATGTTTTTTTCAGAAAATACCACAATGGATCTCTGATTCATGAATTTGTCAGATATGATTCTTCGGCTAAACAACAGTCATTACTGAGTTTTTAACTCTCATCAGACATATCCTGAGATGTGTCCTACACCACTCTGGTGATTAAGGTCTTGCCTTATTTTTATTTTATTTATTTATTTTTTTTTTAGTCAGAGTTTCGCTCTTGTTACCCAGGCTGGAGTGCAATGGCGCGATCTCGGCTCACTGCAACCTTTGCCTCCTGGGTTCAGGCAATTCTCCTGCCTCAGCCTCCTGAGTAGCTGGGATTACAGGTGCACGCCACCATGCCCGGCTAATTTTTTGTATTTTTAGTAGAGACAATGTTTCACCATGTTGACCAGGATGGTCTCGATCTCTTGACCTCGTGATCCACCCACCTCGGCCTCCCAAAGTGCTGGGATTACAGGCTTGAGCCACCGCGCCCGTCTCTTCCTTCTCTTAAACTACTCTTTGCTTCCTTCCTTCCTTCTTTCATTCTGTCCACAATTCTTTTCTGTTTTCATCATCAGTTTCAGCAGTTTTTCCTTCCTTCCTCCTCTGACTCCTTTTTCCTTACCTCCTCTTCTCCCCTTCTTTTCTCACATCTGTTCTGGCTCCTCCTCTTTTTTACCCTTTGTCTCCCTCTCTCCCTTATTATTATTATATTTTTGATCATACTCTTGTTTCATGAAGTCTGACATTGCTTTCCTTTAGGCCCTGACCTTTAAATGATTGGGGCCACGTTTTCCTCTCATTCATCTGAATTTCCTCTGATCTATTCAAGATGCTCACAAATCCTGAGTCTCTTTGTAGCTGCCTCCCTAAGAAATGCTGTGGAAAGGAAGACTGAAGAAAGGCATTGGGTCTTGGCAGAAAAAAACCTCTTTGTATGGGGTCTCACACCCTAATGCCCACAACTTCCTTGTTTCCCATGTTTCCTTTTCTCTTTTTTTTCTTCATTTTCTATTTCCTGATTCTTTGTAGGATTTTTAAATCAAACATATGTTCTAAATAATGTTGACGGAGATAGGACTGGGAAGGAGGGAATTTTCTCTTCCCATGTCTTGGCTAGATCTCAGAGATTTTTTGTTTTTGTAAAGTAACATGCCCTCTATGAGAAGAAAAATATGCTGTGATTTCTGGGGACATGAATTTCTTCAGAACCTAAGTGTTTTGTTAGTTAGATGCCTGGATGCAGGCTTGAACAGTTTAGTAAACTCCGTTATTCAAAGCCAGTGGATTTTTTAATCTCTTCTGAAGTCCTTTCACCTTTGTTCAAATTTCTATTTAATTAAATGTTTGCTAGATGGAGTAAAATTTACATCATTTGATTTTACTACCTGTATCAGTCTTGGTATAGAGTCTATTCTAGTAAAAGATAGCTAAAAAGAATCTGTCACATGGTGTTGATTACTCTGATTTATTCCAGCCCGCGCTGCTTTGCAGCACATTTCTGGGTGCAATTACAAGATTTTCATCAACAAAACTCTATGCATGTAGAGATCCAGTTACCTTCTTAATCACATGGTATGCCTCCATGGGGTCTGAGATCAACCAGAGAGCATCTCTTCAGCTCTGTTGAAAGAAAACATGAGAAATAAGAAAGAAGTACATTGTAAAATTAACAAATAAGATGCTGAATGCTGGCATTTGCAAGTATTTACATTTATACATAATGTATACATGTTACCTAAACATATATATTACTTAATATGTAGTAAATGCACGTAGTCATGAAAAATTTCTCTTAGTTCATAAGTAAATCACCTCTTCCCAAAGCAACTAAATCCTGCTTTTGTTTAAACTGGTTTTCATAAGCTGACGTTTGAGGAAGATGTTTTTGTATGAAAAGCTGAGAATTTGTTGATTTTTCTGGTTGGTAAAAAATGTTACTGAATACATTCAATAGTAATAATTATATCATACACATAAACATTAAAATTATAAAATATTCGATCTAGAAGAAGTGTTAAAAGCAAAAAAATTCAAAGTCAAAACTTTCTATATAATCACTATATAGTAAGATGCTAAGTGCACAATGATCACAAGCTAGAATAAATTCCTTAGCAATTTAGTGTACTTTTTCAAACTAAGATTATAGATACTTTTGAAATTATGGCAATAGAAATATGTTTGGCATATTTTTTCAGCTTACCACAGAATCCTTGATTCAAAAATGCATTTAAAAAGTTGTTGCATGTTCTCATAGGCACTAGTATTTTCCCACCAACGTAGCCTCCAAGGGATAGCCAGCTGGTAAGGCTACCCAAGACCACACACTTGACTCTAGTTTGCTCAGGAGGATCCCAGAGGGACTCAAGCTTGCTGTCTTGAAGCACTAAATATTCTTCACCAATAATAAGTATTCTAACAGCAGCACAGGTACAGGCACCTAGTCTGCACAGGTGCAATGAAATTAGATCCATGTCCAGTAAATACAGCAACTTCCCTGGTTTAAAATCTTCTGAATTCAAATTAAGGTCCTAGATCGGGTGCAGTGGCTCACACCTGTAATCCCAGCACTTTGGGAGGCCGACGTGGGTAGATCACCTGAGGTCAGGAGCTCGAGACCAGCCTATCCAACATGGCAAAACCCTGCCTCTACTAAAACTCCAAAAAGTAGCTGGGCGTGGTGACAGTCATCTACAATCCCAGCTACTCAGGAGGCTGAGGCAGGAGAAATTGCTTCAACCAGGAGGTGGAGGTTACAGTGAGCCAAGATCATGCCATTGAACTCCAGCCTAGGCAACAAGAGTGAATCTTCATCTCAAAAATATAAAAAATAAAAAAATAAGGCCCTAAAGAAGTCAGCACCCTCCTCTCAATTCACCTTTTCACGGGTGTAAAGATATGCCAGGTATGAGTCACCACACTCCAGAAAGCCCAAAGCACAGCATCCCCATCAGGTATTCCTATTCACTTTGAGCTCCTTCCAGTTCAGATAAAATGTACTAATCAGCGGTCCTTTTATCCTGAGTGTTGCTTAGTAACATAAGTGACAATTTTACCTTTGTCAGGTTACCAGGGGAACTGATCTAGGCAGCATAACCAAAGGTCAGGAAGGAATCACGGATCAGGTGCAGCATCCTCTGGGGCCGAGGAAGCTCAGCCACAGGACAGGCTTCCTGCAGTCAGAATCAGATGACACAGCAAATTATGACAGAAGGAGGCTGACTCTGAAATGCTGGACTCTTTATCCTGAACATATTGTACTGCCCAACATTAACATGAAATTTTAATATAAAAAGTGACTGCCAAGACAGCACCCACATCAAAGCACAGCTATGTGACCATAACTGCATTTTTCTAGGTTTATTGATGTGTGTGCCTTAGAAGGCAGAGTCCAGGGCTTTGCTCCCTTTCAGCTTGATTACATTTCTCACCTCCCTCTGATTTATCAGTTGTCCTTTGCTCCAATAGGATTAGATCAGAATTTATTAAACGTCTTGTTTATATTAAGACATTTTTAGTATTAACAGGTATTCACTATCTTATACAGTGCTTACCACATACATGCCAAAGTGATTTTCAATCCCTTGATAAATGAAGACTTCATTAGCTATTTCTATGAGCAAAACATGATCCTAGGCAGTTCGTGAAGGAGATCAGCTATTAGACTAAACCTGTTTATACAGAGCATTCAATTTTCAGCTTACTGGAGAAGCTAAAACATATATTGGAGAATTAACCAAATAGAAGGGAGTATATACGAGCCACCAACAAAAAGCACCTTGGGAATCTATTAGAGGATTGTTTTGATCAACATGTATCAGTGAAGGTTCCAGGAGGGGCATGGGAGCTGAGGTAAGACTTGTATAATGGCTTGATTCACTCCTGGAATGATGCATGCGAGCTATGTAGATTTTCCATAGGGCGGAAAGGAGGTGGTGCTGTATTTCCAGATTCAACACAGGGATGAGAGTGAATTTTCTGGCTTCAAATTCAGAGCATTTTCTTTCTTTTTCTTAAATAATGAGAATTCATCACATGTCTCAAGGTGGAGTGGGAGACACAGAGGGAGTCACTAGCCCCTCTGTCCCGAGACCACAGGGGAATATGGAAGCATTCCTTAGCTTCTCTTCTGAAGTCACAAGCTTCTTGCAAGTCTCAGTGCCTTATAAAATCTCTGTTCTTGTGCTTACCAACTGTGTCACATTCTACTGATGCAGCGCACCTTCATGCCCATTGCCCGGCACTGTGCCTCTCACAAATTAGATTTTTAATGCACATTTGTTATTACCAAAAATAACAAGATACAGATTCAGTGCATGCTGACTCTCTAAGCACTCATCTATGAATCAAGTTTTGTGTCAGGCAAGGCTAAGGTTTCTCAAAATGCTCGGAGTAAGTAGGATGACCATGCTTTCCGGTTTTCTAGAGACAGTTGTAATTTATACCTGTTTCTCTGCAAAACACATAATAATAATCTTTTTCACCCTTAAAGTTGTCACAGTTTAGATAATAAATTATGATACGGCTATCTGAAATAGAAGGCTCAATCTATGATCAAACGTGTCTTTCTTTATTCTCACACCCTGACACAGAGATAACCTGTTTAACATGTTAGTATAATTCTTCCCTTTTTAAAAATACGTTTGAAAATATCTTCGGCCATAATTTACACACAAGTCTCATGCAGTCAATTTCTTTTTGTGTGAAATATTTTCTTTTTTTATAAAAGGAACAAGGACTGCCATGGTGTTCTGAAGATGGTCTGCACCATCTGATATATCAGGGCATCTCTACTCAGCAATGCCTGCCCTGAGCCCTGACCTCAAGTTGATATCTTAAAATAAGCCATAATGGGATCACTTTCATCATGAAAATGGGCAAACACTAAAAATCAGATTCTGATTCTGAGGGTCAGTTATTCAATACCACAGTAACACTGATAAGCTCATAACAGGTCACTTAAAACTGACAACTGCAAGAAAGAAAGTAAAAATTACCTATAATCTTACCCTTTGGGGATCTCCCCATAAACATTTTGATGTTTCTCCTCTTCTCTTTTGTAGGCTAACACACACAGACACCCACATCATAACACACACTAATTATAAAGTAATGAGATTTGTTTTGAACAGATGTTACAAAATATAGCCATGTAGATGGGTATCATCTTTTGAAATAATCATCTGATGAGTCAGAATGTTTCTTCTAGGAATGATTCCATTGCTCTAAACACGTTCACATATCCTCTGTCATGACTGTCAGAGAGCCAGTTTAAGAGACCCACGACAAAATCGCATCTGATTTTCTTAAGCCTAAATTAGAATTCCCAGATTTGTCATTTAATTTATACATAAAGCTTGACTCTAAAAGAAATTTCTTCTTTCCAAATATAACTATAAAATGAAGATTGAAATGACTCAAAACAATGTTTTCCAAACCCTGAAGACAGCTTTGAAACAAAGAAGGCAGGATGTGCATTTTCGGGGAGTGGGACTGGGAGGGAAGGTCTCTGCATCATGTGGAGGGCCTATGAGGTGTGTATTTTGAAACATATTTATTTGGATGTAAAAATTCGATTGTGAACTTTTAAAAATCAATCACATTATTTTACAAGTTCACCTTCTGTCTGAATATATGTATGTATAAACAGTTGCACATTTTAAGACATAATGTTAACCATGATTTAAATATTTAATGCAATTCAAGCTATGTTTTACACATTTTGAGTTAAGTTTGATAAAACTAAAATCCATTTTTCTAAGGCTTTTTCTTCCATAATCTTTAATCCCATGTGCATTTTAAAGGAAATGAATTCCGTGTGTTTCTTATTCCATACATTTAACTCATCAAACAATGTTTTGTAAGGACCCTTTGATATCCAAGAAGCCCTTTGAGTCTTTTTATGAGACTTTTTAAGCCTTTCTCCTCAGAAACAGGAAGTCATGTTTGGCCACGACCAAAAGAGCTTGCATACCAAATGGTTTAAGTTCAATTTGAAAAGGCCACACCACTGGGCTGGGCTGGGCTCTCAACATGGCAACACATGTTCTGCAGGCCCAGGGAAAAAGGAGGTCAGGTTTGATCTACTCAGAGGCCATGAATTAAAGGGCATCTCTATAACATGTTGGAGTTGCTTAGGAAGTTTAAGAAATGGTAAGATCACTTCCAAAAAAAAAAATCATATTTCTAAATTCCTAGACTGTAACTTGCAGAACTTTTATTTACTTATTTATATGTGTTTTATAAAAGATGGCACGTGGAGCCTGAGGAGGGCGTCTACACACGGTGCCTTCGCTGACATCTGACTGCGTTTGGGCCAACTGCATAATTTGGTATTTCTGATCCTTTTTCGTCCCACACACTGCTTTCAACTTTCAGTTTTTCTGCTGTAATCATGATCCGGCAACTGATGGGGTAATTTCTTCAGGGAATTGTTCTTCAAATCTAGAGAGGATTCCTACTGCTCATTTTAACAGAGACATCTGTGCCTTATCGTTAAGTTACCCTACTAGTTTATGGTTCTATAAGGATGCCATAGAATGTTGGGAAAATCTTGTCGAGATGTGTACATATGAGCATAAGTTAAAGAAAAATAGTGTCATTTAACTCTAAGCCACGCTGAAACATAGATTAGATTTCTTTTCATGTTTGGTGTTAAAGTATATGCTGACATTCTCAGAGGATGAGAGATTTATAAAATAAACATATGTCCAGTGTAATATTAAATAATAAATTGGTTTCAAAAAATAACACTTATGCAATTTTATTCTCAGAGTTGTATACAAAGCCAGGGGAAAATATTGTATTATATAACAAACAGAAAAGCCCTTTGAGGTTAGAAAAATAATCCAGAGGGTTCCTATATTATACTTACATTAAAAAGTATTTTTAAAAGATCAGGGTTTCTTCCTTATTCTACACGACCACCATCATAATTCCTACAGTACTGAGAGGGCAGCATCAGCAAGTCTGTTATTCCACCGTGTTCCCTCTCTGAGTAGTTGCAATGGGCAGAGGAGTCATTAATCATAGTGGCTCATGCTTGGATATTTTCCAAATGCTTCAAGTCTATTATCTCATTTGACCCTCATAAAAACCTCTAAGTGTAGATAAAACAGGTATCAGTATTGCTATTTGACAAGAAGAAAACCCGTCACAGGGAAGTTAAGAAGCTGTCTTAACGGTAATAAAGTTAATTAATGGCAAAAGGGAAGATGCCTGTATGGAATATTGGTACTATCCTAGGACCTGTACATGCTTCCTTCAAAATGACCCTGCAGAGAAGGCACTACCCACCTGAGATTAGGAGGCTGGGCATGGAGACGCCAAATAACTTGGCTGAGGTTAAACCCCTAGGGAGGGGCTGGTACCATGGAGCCCCACTCTGGCCTGACCTCACAGCTCAGCACAGTTTCCACTTAAAGAATACCCCCTCCTCTTCTGACCTGTGCTTCCTGCTCTGGCTTCCTTTCAGCCACATCTGGGTGCTCCTCCTTCCCCAGCATTTCAGGGAAGCCTCACTGTGAGGTGGCAGAATGGGTGTGTAAATGGAACACAACCATGTGTCAAAACAATCACTTCTATTCAGTCACTCAGCTCTAGATGAAACCAAAAACATATTTATACTTTGTGAACCAATGTAAACTGTTTAAAAAATGTATCATCAGCTGAACAATGTATAAAGGAGAACCAAATTTATAAAGAATAAAATAAGCCCACAGTCTTGTACAGAAGACAGCAGGTGTTGTGGGAAGACTCAGGCTTGGAGCTGCACGGATGCCTTTGGATTCTCCAGATGGCTGCCTCCTAGCCACATGGTTCAGGACAAACAACCTACCATGTTTTGCTGAAGTAGAAAATTGGAATTAATGATAATAATAATAACAACATTTCTTGGTGTTTTAGAGCCCTTGAGAGACAACTCAGTTTCTGATAAAAAGAGAGAATTTAAAATGATTGCTATGAGTAGTTTTTTCCAAGGGAACCTGAAATGAATGGATACTTTGGTATTTCATTTTCAATTCAAAATAAAACAAAAGAAAAAGTATGAGTGTGTGTAAAAAAGTCAGTCATGCATTTTAAGGAGTTAACACAGATGACAGATGAATCCATGTCATTAGCCATCATCACAAAGTAACTATAAAATATATCTTTGGGAAAACAAAAAAGTAGGGTCTAGCAAAGCATTTTCCCACCATCTATACATGTCCTCTTCTGTTGTTAAGTAGAAATGAGAAAAGAACAGTTATGAGGGCAATAAATAACATCATATGATTCTACCTCTTAGAGACCTGAGGAAGTTGGTAACTTAGGATTAGCATGTACAGAAAAATAAGACTCCTTATATCTAGTTAGAAGAAAGGGATACATCCCAAAGTCTAAAACAAACAAACAAAAGTAAAGGAAAAATCCAAACTTAAAACATTCAGAAAGGTCAATATTCATTTGATAGCAAGTCTTAACTTTGGATTATTCTTCTTATGAAAAGAGGAAAAAAACCTCCATTTTTAATACACTCACTAAGAGTTGCACAGCGAAAATCTAGTGGAATTATTTTAAAGCAAAGGGAAGCTCGATTGCTTTGAAATAGGCATTTCTGCCAAGCTGCTTTTATTCATGCAATCAGCTTTTGTTATAACCCTACTAGATGTGAGGGCCCGTACGGAACAGCAGCAGGATGGGAGGGAAAAGTGTTTACCAAAGACTAGTAAGGAATGAGAACCACTGTCATGGAGCTCCTGTCAAGCATCAGAGACAGACGCGCTAGCAGCTGTCTCAAATACAGTCTAATAAGTAGCCTAATGAAGGTAAATTCAAAGAGTTCTGGGACTCAAAGGTGGTAACATTTGAGCTGAATCTGAAGTAGAAAGCACAAGCTTCTCTGGTTTAGAAAAAGGGAGGAGTATTTTGGAAAGAATCATGTGTATATAGACATGGAGGTAGGAGACAGCACAGCATGGCTTACTCATGAAATAAAAAATATTTTGCTATTTTTAAAAACCGGAAATCTAATGAGGAAACATGATGAAGACAAAATTACTCAGATATGTTAAAATGATAAGGAAAACTTTATTCAAGACTATTTCAATAATGGAGACAGATTGAACTGAACTCCAAATTCAGCAAAACAGCTGGAGATTTACAGCCAAGGGGCAGAGCAGAGAGATTTTTACTACACTGGCTTAATAGCATTCTGACTCAAGAAAGGCCAAGAGCTGGAGGTGGATCTAAGTTGGCCGAATAGAAACAACTCTGGAGTGCTGTTCTCAGCGAGAGCAACACAGAGGATGAGTGATCACCACATTTCCAAATGAGTTATTACTACCCACAGACCAGGAGTTTTCCAGGCTGAAAAGTGCTATGAGTTTCCAGCATGGCTGTTTCACCTAGTGCAGTGGGTCTCCACACAAAAACTCACACAAATCTGGGCAGCCGTTTCAACTGGCACCTGGAATGCCTTGGAGACAGAGTCGCTCATTCAACTGAAAAAAGAGGGCTGAAACAGGGAGCCAGGTCATCTGGCTCAGCAGGCCCTACCCCCACAAAGACCAGCAATCTGAAATACTCTAGATAGAGAGTTTTACAGCAAGCACAGCTGAACCTGGGATGGTCCAGCTTTGTGGAGGGAAGGATGTCTGCCATTACTGAGGCAGTCCACCACTACCAAGGCAGTCTGCCATTACCAAGGCAGTCTGCCATTACTGAGGCAGACTGCCATTACTGAGGCAGTTCTAACTATACCTCTATAAACAAAACCACAAGGAAGTTCACACAGCAGCTGGGCAGAGCCCACGGAGCTCAGCAACGCCTCTGCTGGCAGACTGTGATGAGGCTACCTCATCTCTGGGCAGGGCATATCTGAGAAAAAGGCAGCAGCACATCAGGAACTTATAAATAAAGCCCCACCTTCCCAGGACAGAGCACCTGGGAAAAACGGCAGTTATGAGTTCCATTGCAGTAGACTTAAACATACTTGCCCAGCAGCTCTGAACAGAACAACGGAGCTCACTGCTCAGCACTTGAGCTCCTATAAGGGTCAGACTGTCTCCTCAAGCAGCTCTCTGACCACCGTATATTCAAAGAGACACCTCATAAAGGGGAACTCAGGCTGACATCTGGAGGGTATCCTTCTGGGACAAAGATTACAGATGAAGAAACTGGCAGAAACCTTTACTGTTCTGCAGCCACTGCAGATGATTCCTAGCAAAAAGGGTCTGGAGTGGACCTCCAGCAGTCCTACAGCAGAGGAACCTGTTAGAAGGAAAACTAAAACACAGAAAGAAATAACTTCATCATCACCAAAAAGGACGTCCACTCAGACCCCATCTGAAAGTCACCAACTACAAAGGTCACAGGTAGATAAATCATCAAGATGGGAAGAAATCAGTGCAAAAGGATGAAAACACCCAAAACCTGAATGCCTCTCCTCCTCCAAGGGATCACAACTCCTCATCAGCAAGAGAACAAAGCTGGATGGAGAATGAGTCTGATGAATTGACAGAAACAGGCTTCAGAAGGTGGGTAATAACAAACTTCTGTGAGCTAAAAGAACATGTGCTAACCCAATGCAAAGAAACTAAGAACCTTAAAAAAATGTTAGATGAAATGCTAACAAGAATAAATAGCTTAGAGAAGAATATAAACGACTTGATGGAGCTGAAAAACACAATAAGAGAACTTCACGAAGCATACACAAGTTTCAACAGCTGAATCAACCAAGTGGAAGAAAGGATATCAAAGATTGATTATCAACTCAATGAAATAAAACAAGAAGGCAAGGTTAGAGAAAAAAGAATGAAAAGAAATGAACAAAGCCTCCAAGAAATATGGGATTATGTGAAAAAACCTAATCTACGTTTGTTAGGTGTACCTGGATGTGACAGAGAGAATGAATCCAAGCTGGAAAACACTCTTCAGGATATTATACAGGAGAACTTCCCCAACCTAGCAAGGCAGCCAATATTTAAGACCAGGAAACAGAGAACACCACAAAGATGTTCCTCAATAAGAGCAACCCCAAGGCAATAATCGTCAGATTCACCAGGGTTGAAATGAAGGAAAAAATGATAAGGGCAGCCACAGAGAAAGGTCGGGTTACCCACAAAGGGAAGCCCATCAGACTCACAGCAGATCTCTCAGCAGAAACCCTACAAGCCAGAAGAGAGTGGGGGCAGCATTCAACATCCTGAAAGAAAAGAACTTCCAAACTGGAATTTTCATATCCTGGCAAACTAAGCTTCATAAGAGAAGAAAAAATAAAATCCTTTATGAACAAGCAATTGCTGAGAGATTTTGACACCACAAGGCCTACCTTATAAGAGCTCCCAAAAGAAGCACTAAACACAGAAAGGAGCAACCAGTACCAGCAACTCCAAAAACATACCAAATGGTAAAGAGCATCGACAAAATAAAGAATCTGCATCAACTAATGGGCAAAACAATCAGCTAGCATCAAAATGGCAGAATCAAATTGAAACATAACAATATTAACCTTAAGTGTAAATGGGCTAAATGCCCCAATCAAAAGACACAGACTGGCAAATTGGATTAAAAAGTCAAAACCCATCAGTGTGCTGTATGCGGGAAATCCATCTCACAGGCAAGGACACACATAGACTCAAAATAAAGGGAAGGAAGAAGATTTACCAAGCAAATAGAGAGCAAAGAAAAGCAGGAGTTGCAATCCTAGTCTCTGATAAAACAGACTTTAAACCAACAAAGATCAAAAGAGACAAAGAAGGGCTTTACATAACAATAAAAGGATCAATACAACAAGAAGAGCTAATGATCCTAAATATATATGCACCCAATACAGGAGCACCCAGATACACAAAGAAAGTCCCTAACAAATTACAAAGAGATTTGTACTCCCACACAATAATAGTGGGAAACTTTAACACTCCACTGTCATATTAGACAGATCAATGAGACAGAAAATTAACAAGGATATCCAGGACTTGAATTCAGATCTGGACCAAGCAAACCAGATCTACAGAAGTTTCCACTCCAAATCCACAGAATATACATTCTTCTCAGCACCACATCACATCTACTCTAAAATTGACCACATAATTGGAAGTAAATCACCCCTCAGCAAATGCAAAAGAATGGAAATCATAACAAACAGTCTCTTACACCACTGTGTAATCAAATTGGAACTCAGGATTAAGAAACTAACTCAGAACTGTACAACTTCATGGAAACTGAACAACTGGCCCTTGAATGTTGACTGGATAAACAATGAAATGAAGGCAGAAATAAAGATATTCTTTGAAACCAATGAGAATGAAGACACAATGTAGCAGAATCTCTGGGAGACATTTAAAGCAGTGTCTAGAGGAAAATACATAGCAATAAATGCCCACATGAGAAGCAAGGAAAGATCTAAAATCACCACCCTATCATCAAAATTGAAAGAACTAGAGGAAGAAGATCAAAAAATCTCAAAAGCTAGCAGAAGACAAGAAA